ACCGGGCCTCATCCTCCGGAAATTCTGTTTCTTTGTTATCTTGTTGGGGCCACAACATTAGTAACAAAGAAACAGAATTTCCGGAGGAAGAGGCCCAGAAATCAGGATTTTAAAAAGATTCCCAGGTGATTCTAATGTGCAGCCAAGGTTGAGAACCACTGCCTTAGGCAGTTTGTAATCCAATCTAAGGGGAGCTGTCTGGAATAACAACCATCAGGTGGGCCCTTTCAGGTGAGAATCATTCACGGAGGGAAGCCACCCTCAGTCTGAAGCAAAAAGAAAAATTTCATAGGAAAACACAGCTTTTGAAATAGTCATTTATGACTGAAAAGGCATGTTTCTAAAGCAGCAAAAAATGCATTCTGAACTGCAGTCATCCCATAATTCTGGGAAGCCACAGGAAGGGGACAGTGCTGAAAGCTGATTTGGCCAGAGACTCAGGTTACACATGAAGTCGGGAAAGGGAAGCAAGATTGCAGGCTCAAGGCAGAGGCCAGGCCCCTGGAGCCTCACATGACAGGTGTTCAGGAGTTCGTGCCTTTCTCAGCAGACAAGTGGGAGCCCTTGGACAGTCTTAAATAAAAAGTGCCAAATACATGATGCATACAATAAATGTAAATGAGGAATCTAATTATGCAAATTTCAATGGGAAACAAATGACAGAGCTCTTTAAAAAGGTGAGTACAAACTCTTTTCCAGTTAGAAATTTGGGCTTAAGGAGATCTAGTTCTATTGCATTATCATCACTACTACCCTTGATTAGCTTCATTTTACTGGTATAAGGAAAACGGGCCGGAGGTCAGACAAGGGAGGCAGATATTACCTTTGAGGATTTATAATGACAAAGCTGGGATAGCAAATCTTGACATTCCTATTCATTTGGGAAGCAAGGAAAAGCTTTAACAAAATTATGTCGGATTGCATTGGTCTGTGTAGGCCAATTTGGACATGGTCTGCAGACTATGACCTTGAGAAATGTCGATACCATCCATGACACCTTGTTGGCTACAGAAGTAGTCTTACTCAAAGATATCCACCAGAAACAAAGCAGGAGCCACTCTCAATGAATAAACCCTAAAAATGTAAGCTGTTTAACGGATAAGAGGCCATGGGGACAGTGGTTGGACTGACTGGAGGGGCTGTTGACTCCTATTCTATCTTAATGTTTGACCAGGGAAGACAAACATTACTAGAATGTCCTCAAGCAGAGGTAAAGGACTCCGGAGGTGATCTATTGAAATGCGGCTGTGGAGTGATATGGATACCACAGTTTGACACCTGGGCTGTCACCTACAGCCAGAAGAACATATCTAAACTCAAGGGCCAACTGGAAACCGGAAGCAGCCCCTCTGCTGCTCCGCCTCCTCCTCACGGTCCCCTCATCACCACACTGACGTGCCATGCATTCTTCTACACACTTTATGTTCATTAACTCACTGAGTCCTAGAACAGGCCTCTTAGGTCATTCCTGTTATGACAAACCCCTTCCTTGTCTCCTGTAGACAGGCACAAAGCAGCCCATTGACTTTCCTCAGGTCACACAAGGGCTTAGCATCAGGGCTGGAGGTGAACCAGGCAGTCAGCTCGTGAAGCTATGGTCGTGATTACTTCACATGCTACCTCTCTGAGCCTGTTATACCACTGAAGCACATACGCCCATTTTTAATGTGTTAGGGTAGAGTGGAGGTCATACCTTCTAATACCTATGTGCACAATAAGGCTGAGATAATTCAGGTAAAACTATTATTTGTAGAAAGCATAAATAAGTCATCTCCTCATGAAGAATTTCCTAATCTGATTGTATTCAGCTTCTACTGAAACTAAGAATACACACTAGGTATAGTTTTCATTTTAAATAAATGTGTTTTAACCTTGAAGAAACTTTTAAAAACTACACAAGCTAGGCACTTAACAGATCATCAAAAATCGTCAATGCTAATCTATGAAATTAAATATAAGTAAATGATACAGTTTCTAATAGTAAACCCTATCAATGACTTTCTTTTTAGAAATCAAACACTGGCGCTGGCCAGTCTGGCTCAGTGGATAGAGCATTGGCCCGCAGACTGAAGGGCCCCAGGTTCGATTCCAGTCAAGGGCATGTACCTCAGTTGCAGGCTAGACTCTGGCCCTGGTCTGGGCATATGTGGGAGACAGCCAATCGATGTGTCTCTCTCACATCAATGTTTCTCTCTCTGTGTCTCTCCCTCTAAAGAGAGAATGTTCCTTCCACTTTCTCTCTCTAGAAATCAATGGAAAAACATCCTCAGGTGAGGATTTAAAAAAAAAGAAATCAAACATTGTGTCAACAAATCAAAGTAAGATGCTAAAAGGGAAAAATACGGTTGAGGGGAGAAAACAGAAAACAAAGGCAGGATGCTATTCTTCAGCTCTGTACTTAGGTTTAACAGGAGCTATCAATCTTTCTTTCCATGAACACTAAATTGAGAAGGAAAAGAAAAATACAGATCAGTCTTCATAACCAGAGGCTAGAAGAACTTCAAACCCTGAAAACCTGAGCTGACAGTTTGAAGCCTCCGTAACTCTCTGAAGGGCCGCATGCACTTTGTTCCCTGGCTTTTCCTTGGTTTTTAATCATTTTGCCCCATGGTGTCCGGACAAGCACTGATGGAGTGGTGCGGCACAGGTGCTTGCCATTCAGAGGCCAAGGTGGCAACCACACTTTAATCTCTAAATCTTTCCGAATAATTCATTTTTCCATAAAGCTGGCGCTCAATAGGAGTAACACCACTACAGGATCCTGAGGGCAAATCGAGAAAGGAAAAAACAAAAACACCAGAACTTTCTGCTTCTTGGTAGTTCGACTTTTTCTTCTTCATTCTTTTTTATTTTTATTTTTATTGATTAAGGTATTACATATGTGTCCTTATCCTCCCATTTCTTCTTCATTCTTAAGTAGGCTCTTTCTGAACAAAATATGCTTTTTTGCCAGCAATGATACATGTTTGTACACAGGGGAAAAACAAAACATTAACAAGTCACTTACACTTTTACACTGGTAGTACTGTGACCAGAGAAATGGTCATTTATTGGACAAGTAGCTATCACATGATTACTATGTGTTGACACAGTTTTAGGCACCAAAGATTTGATAATCCCAAATAAACCAGAAAATGCTGATGCTTCATTGGGCTTTCACTCCAGAGGGAAAGAGAAACAAATCAATGAAGGAGAATCACCTTCATGCGCTAAGTGCTACGATGGAAATAAGTGGCAGACTATAAAAGGAAGAGCTGGCAGTGGGCACAAACTTTAGCAACGTGCCAAGTGGCCTCCCTGAGTAGGTGGCACTGAATTGATCCCTGAAAGAGGACAAGGAGCCAAAATGGGGAGGGGCCTCCTTGCAGAGTAAACAGCAATTGCAAAGGGGGGCAGAAAAGAACAGGCATGTTGTAGAAACAGACAGGAAACCAGTATGGCCAGGCATGATGCAGCAAAGGAAGGAATATATTCTGGGATGGGAAGCTGCTAAATGTACTTGAACAATGGAAGTACATGATCTGCTTTACATTTTTAATAAACATTGAGTCTGCTTTTTGGAGAATGGTTTGGAAGGAACTAGAATAGGTATTGGCAGACAAATAGGGAGGCTTTAACAGCCCAGGGAGGGCATGATGGTGCCGGGCTAGGCTCTGAGGGGAGATGGAGAGTAGCCAACTGATTCATAACCCATTTTGAGTTTGAAATGATAGACCTTGCCGAAATATTGGATAGAAGAAAAGAAGATGATCAAAGAATACCCTGCCAGGAGATTATATCCAATACAATAATTTCTGTGTGTTACATAGCCAAAGTATAAAAGTTCAATTTCATATTATTTAAAAGAGATTGTTCCAAAATGAGAAAACATCCCTAATTAAATTGAACAGAGAATGCACTAGTTTCTATTTTTTAAATTTTAACCAAAAAAATCTATAGTTAATTTTAAAAGATAAAAGGAAACAAGGATTTAGTTAAAGTTTAAAACATCAGTCCTCAAGTGATTAAGAAAAAAATCAAACCATATTTCAAGGAAGTCTATAAATAGTATAACCACAATTGTCAAAAAATAACTAATCTTATTTTTAGCCTGCAGGGTGCTCATGCTTTATTGAAAAGCTTCAGGAAGAAAGTCTTCTATTTCAAGTTCCTATTTCATCCTCCTACAATGGTTTGAAGAGTTAAGTCTAGGACAGGGGTTGGCAAACTTTTTGACTCGAGGGCCACAATGGGTTCTTAAACTGGACCGGAGGGCCGGAACAAAAGCATGGATGGGGTGTTTGTGTGAACTAATATAAATTCAAAGTAAACATCATTACATAAAAGGGTACGGTCTTTTTTTTTTTAGTTTTATTCATTTCAAACGGGCCGGATCCGGCCCGCGGACTGGTCTAGGATCTCCTACTATTTAGATGAAACATTCTAGAAAACTTGTAAACTTATTTGCAAGTACATTAATTGTCTTATTACTCAATTATTACTTATTATTTAACTAGAGGCCTGGTGCATGAAAATTCATGCACTGGGGGGGTGTCTCTCAGCCCGGCCTGCCCCCCCTCACAGTCCAGGAGCCCTCAGGGGATGTCCTCCTCTGCAGGAGGTGACTGGGCAGATCAGGGGAAGGTACCGCCTCCCTCACCCTGCTCTGCTGCCAGCTCTAGGCCCTCACTTCTTAGCGCTGGCCCCACCCCCCCACCCACTGCTGGGTGGGGCGTGATCTGGGACCAGGCCAGCTGGGGGAGGGGCTGTGGGAGGTTGAGGCACAGCAGGTCATACCCCGTCCAGCCTCTGTGCAGGCGTGGCACTGGGCCCAGGTCTGTGCTGCTGCCTCTGTGCCTGCCTCTGTGGAAGGGGCAGCACTGGGACCTGGACCGCACAGCCCCTCTCCCACTGCCTCTGTGGAAGGGGCCTTGGCGCTGGACCGGCCCACGCTGAGGCCTCTCCAGCGCCGCCTCTGCTAAAGGGGCTGTGGAACCGCCTTCCTCCGCTCCCACGGCCACGACCTCTCCTGCAGAGCTGCCTTCCTCAGCTCCAGCTGCTGTGGCTTTGTCAGGAAGGACGTCCAGATGGGCGTCTGGTCTAATTAGCATATTACCCTTTTATTAGTATAGATAACTGCTGTAGTCAATTCACAGATCAATTAGCATATTACCCTTTTATTAGTATAGATAACTGCTGTAGTCAATTCACAGATCATTCAGGTACTTTCTCCTTTCTGTTCAGTCAACTTTGGACTATTTAAGGGTTAAACGCTGGTAAGGAGGAACAGAAGGTGAGAAAATGTCTGTGAAATTCATCGTTCATAACTGAGTTAGGGTGAGTTAAGGAAGACATTAAAAACCAATTGTTGAAAGAAGCAAAAACATCTAAATTCAAAGAATAAAAATGCCGTGCCACTGGCCAAAGTGCTACAATAACAATTATAACACAGCTCAGATGGAAAACACTGCTTCGTGCTGAATTCCTCCATTTTTTCTGTGCAAATCAGCATAATATCAGCTGTCTTACCGAGTTTTTGTGAGGATTACAATTAATGTATGTAAATACCTAAAGCCTTACTAAAGGGCTGCTACTGTTTTCAGAAAAACCTAATGAAGTCCAGTTAATCCCAGTAGAATTCTGCTTGGGGAAATACTTTTTTGGAAATAAAGCATTTACACTGAAATAATCACTTCAAGTGCACAAGAACCCAGATGAACACTTTAAAGTGAGTTCTTCATCCTACTGTTCCTTTGCTGGAGTAACAGAGCTGGGTCACAGCACCCAGGGAACGAATGCCAGGCTCAGAGCCTCAGGACGCCCACCGTCACTGGGCCTGTGGAGCTTAATCTCTTAAATTCTCTTTGTTCCAGGAAGACAGAGCTCATAGTTTCCTGCTATCTTTCTAAAATTAGTTCAAATATTTGTCACAGGAGCATGAGGCCTGTGTCTGTTTCATTTTGGTATTTCTAATGCCTGCCTAGCACACGCCTGACACAAGGAGCTGATGAATAACTGCCTACAGGGCCTCGGCTCAGGTAATTCCCAAACCTAGAATATAGGTTGCTGAATCAAATCAATTACCATCAGTATTTGGAAATCATGCTTAAGCTTTATTTTATACACACACACACACACACACACACACACACAGTCCACCAGAACAAACTGAACTACCTAATATTACTTAGTATGCTGATAAAATAAGCACTGAAACTTGTCACTTCTTCCTCTGTGTTCACATTTACCTATATTATCTCCCCAGTTAGGGTGTCTGTCCCTAAGGGAAGGGGCTGAGTTTCACATTTCTTTGGGACAACCTTTAAGACCTGAAACAGAATTGGTTGGCCCTGCGGTAGACATCAGTGAATTCTGTTGCGAATTCCCTCAGCATCCCAACCCAGTGGTAAATCCCTGTTGCAGCTCATGAAATATTATCTGTGCCTGGAAGCATTTATAAATCCTAAAAAAACATATTTTTTCTACCACAAGATCAAATCTAATATCTTCAGGGGAAAAAATATCAAAATGTAAACCTAATTGTTTCGATAATGAAAGACAGTTTTATCGGTAACCAAATCTAAAAGGAGCAGGAAAGGTACCTTCCAGCAGTTTTTTCTCTGCAGGGAGTTTGGAAGCAGCAGAAGGAGCCTGGTACAAAAAGTCACAGAGGAACGTGCACTGGGCGGACTCTTGACTTAATCCACCTTCGAAATGAACGTCGTGTTGAGGAAAATCTGGAGAAATTACAGAAATAATGCATTTGACATCTAAAATGTAAACAACTTTCCCTTTGCTTATGAATATGTAGGTGAGGTTTGAGCTAGAAGAAAAACTACTTCAAATATACCACAGAATAAATACACAGAAATATTTATTTTACTTTGCATAAAACTTGCAAAAATAAGCACTTACGTTGTGTTTATTATTCATATATGAAAATCGGATTTGATTTTGGTGGAAATGATAATGTAGGATTAACTGTTTTAATCTTCCATTTGTAAGATTAGAGAAACGTCAAAGATTTCCTAGACTTTTTCTTAAAATGTACTCTGACGCATCTTCCATCTTTTTGGTAGTTATATTTTTCTTCATTCTGATGGCTTTTCTTATTTGAGAAATAAATAGATATGGGTTTCTGTCCATTTAGGGACACATCAGAAGAAACCAGGCTAATGAAGGGATGGGGCTCACCTGAGAACTTGTTGTGGTAGAGAAATTCCATTTGCAGACTCTGCCCAGCCTTCTTGGCCAGCTGGTAGGGGGTGCTGTGCACGGGGTCTCCGGTTGCACACATGACGTCTGCTCCACTGAAGAGCAAAGCCATTGTTTCCAGAACATCCGATTTCACCACAGCAGCACACAGAGCCTGGCCATTGAAAGAAAATGTAACTCTTAAAGGAAGAAAATGCAATTCTAGCTATTAAAATGAGTGAAAGTCTGTCCATTTACGATATGAAGTTTGTATTCCTTCTTAACTAAGAAATATAATTATACGTGTGCCCTGAATTAAACAATAGGCACACAAGGCCTGCTTTGCATGAATTTAAATCATAACCCAAGACCTCCAAGCTTCAATTCATTGTTTTGTAGCTGTGATGTTCCAAACCTTCTAATCCAGAATATTTGCTCTGGAAGACACTTTTTGTACTTACATACAATGATAATGACTGATGCTCAGAAAATTCTAAATGTTTCAAATGTAATAATGAGGTATCCACTGAATGTTTTGTCATATTAATGTATGTATGCATTTGTATGTGTATGTATGTATGTATGTATGTATGTAATTTCCAGCCTAATTGGGATCTGTATATTTGTTCTATTATTGTTGTGTTGTGGTAATTTGAAAGATGAGCTCCAATTCCGAATCTTTCCCTTTGGGGGAGGGGTAATGTGGCGAGCAGGAGCAGTAAACAGACACAATAAAACATTGTGGACCTATATTAATAAGCAACCTTTACATCTCTTCTCATCCTCTCTTCCTGCTTCCTCACTTTATTGGCTTCCCATTTTCTTCCAAACCCTCTGATTTTGCACCCTGATTCCATCTGACTTCAGCCTCAGGTTCACTATTTACCTTCTCTCTGACGTGGTGCATCTGGACAGATCACTAATTAATTTGCCCTCCACACTGCAACCTCAGGATAATCGCTCATTAGCTATCCCAATGGGCAGCTCAGAGTGTGCAGCCAAGGAGTCTCAGAATGTATTCACAGTTCCTGTCTACTAGTTAAAAAGTGCTTCTCTTTTCCACCATGGTCTAGCTGACGTCCAGAATTTCCTTCACTTCAGAATCAAGGACACATACAACTCAACTTTTAAAAATCTGATTCAGTAATGGGCATAGAAACAAATTAGACAGTTTTCCAAAGAAGACATCCAAATGGCCAACAGGTACATGAAAGGATGTTCAACATCACTAATCATCAGGGAAATGTAAATGAAAACCACAATGAGATATCGCCTCACACCTGTCAGAATGGCTATGTTGGAGAAGACAAGAAATAACAAGTGCTGATGGGGATGTGGAGAAAAGGGAACCCTTGTGCACTGCTGGTGGGAATACAATTTAGTTCAGCCACATTGGAAAACAGCATCAATATTCCTCAAAAGACTTAAAAATACAGTTATCATAGGATACAGCAACCCCACTTGTGAAAAAAAAATATATATATGAAATAAAAACAGAATATTGAAAAGATATCATCATTCTGATGTTCATTGCAGCATTATTTTTCACAATAGCCAAGATATGGAAACAACCCAAGTGTCCCTCATTAAATGAGTAAAGATCAAGTGGGTAGCATAAAATGGTCACAAAAGACCTGGAATCACTCAGCCAAAAGCAAGTGACAGTTCAAATCAACAGCACTAAGCAAAGCATTGCTTGTACCAATAAATGAAGTAACTAATGCTAATTCTGGTGACAGCAAGTCAGCAATGTATGAGCTGAAGCGTGTCCTGTCCCTAAAATAGGGAAAGTTGACAGGGGTTTAAGAATAATGGGATATGCCTACGTTAGCTGAAATCTTGTGGAGAGTTTATCTGCCATTGATGACAACTCTTAAGAGAAACAATGAGAAACCATGGATAAAGTCTCACAAAAGGAAATAAAATGAGATTGTGCAATAATTTCATCAAATAGCAAAATATTTTTTATTTCTTTCCAAAATCCTTGGCACATACTTAATAAGATACTAAAATGCATGTCTATTGTTATGTTTTATTGGATACCTTATTTAATTCCTCCTTGGTGAGAGATGCCAAAAGGGTTTTTCTGAATCTCCCTTCTTTGTACTTCTGGGTAATGAAGCTTTTTCTCTTTTCTACAGGCGCGTCCATGTGTAATTCTTCATCTTTTTGAAGGTTACCAGCCCAAAAGTCATTTGCTCTTTTGTTTCCAATGACAATAAAAAGCTGAATTATCAAAAAATTATAAGATATATCAGTTCCTAAAATATTACTTAAATCTGCAGAAAACTGACTCACATGATAAATGAAAGCATAACTTAGTATAAAATATGCAAAAACACAGGAAAGATTTAACTTTTTCAGGAAGATGGAGTGTGAAAGCAGACACGATTTCTATTTTAAATACAGTCTAGCTGCTCTTAATAACAGTGGAAGATTAGCGAGGAAGGAAATTGCAAGCCACACAAATTGCAGCCAAAGCATGATTATTTTTTGAAGCTCACATTGAGACAGATTCATTTAAAATGGCTGAGTAGGTGGACTAACGTGGCTGAGAGTGGTGCTGAAACGGAGCAGAAAATGGAATTGGGAGACAGCAAGTTAGACATAATCGCAGTTAATGACACAGCATGGCCAAGATAAAGAATGGCAAATTTTGCCCAATGTTTTCATCACTTTTCTAATATTACATCCATGCTGGGTTAAAAAGAAAGTAAATTCTGGGTAAACGACAGAGCTGCCAAGCTCTTAAAAATAGTTATTACAATTAAAGCTCCTTGTACTTCTTTATCTTTAAAATAACTATTCATTTAGGAAGCATTATGAAAGTTAAAGTAGAAAGTTGCTACTATCAAAGAAGCTATAAGCCATTACTCTACTGTGGTGAGAAGTTGCTCAAGGAGTTCCTAACATAAGCTCCTAACGGGCATCTCTCCTCCCAGACCTCTGCTCACCACCACCACCACCACAGTAAGACCGGACTTACCTCGATGAGTTCATTACTCCAAATGCTTGCATCCATTTTTAGACTTCTAACCTTGGAATCTTTTGGTCCTAAAGATCTATGTTGTCCTAAAGTCAAAAAACAGTTGCATTCTATTTTAATTCATATGCAAATGTATTTACCTTTTTAAAACAGTGTTTATGTGTGCATGGATGTTTGTGTTTATATATTTTTTTTCAACTGAAAATACACTGATGTCTATTTCCACCCAGGAGTAGTGATGGTGTTTATACAGAAATCATAACCAACCACAGTGAAGTTAACAGTAATCACCTTCATCACCATCTTGTACTGGCATAAAACGATACTCTTAAAGGTGTGTATCGATGTGTATGTGCATGTGTGTCCATATGTGTGCATGCACGCATGTATGTATACCCATACATATATAATTTTTGCATCGTTTGGTAATTAATTAGAAATAGTCACTGAAAATATTTTATAATGGGTCTGTGTAAATTACATGTATATGAAAACAGTTATTATCCCATTATTCTAAAAAAAAAACTAGCTACAACTTTAATAAATGGGTACTTAATCTTCAATGGAGTCTTTAAAAAAAATATATATATACTATATATATATATATATATATATATTAATTTCAGAGAGGAAAGGTGAGGGAGAGAGAGAAAGAAACATCAATGATGAGAGAGAATCATCTATCAGCTGCCTCCCACACACCCCACGCTAGCGATCAAGCCCACAACCGGATATGTACCTTGACCAGGAACTGAACTGTGACCTCCTGGTTCAAAGGCCTACACTCAAACACTTAGCCACTCCGAGCTTAAGTGGATTCTTTATTCTACTATTGTATGCGTGGTAGAGAGTAACAGCCCAGCATTCTACTATTATCAGTTCAATTCTGCCGTATAAATCAACATTCAGTCGTTACCAACAAAGTCATGTTCAGATGCTTTATTGTCTAAACTCCCGAGAAGGAAAAAGGTACATAAGACATTACCTTTGATCTTAAGAACTTTCTTCCTTAAAGCATGAAAGAGTTCCTCTCTCTACCTTAAAAAGGTTCCTCTCCTCTGGTCTTTGAGATAGAAACTACTGAGAACACAAAGCCCTAGAACTCCCAGGGCAGGAATTTGCACAGGTTTGCATTTATAAAGAACACCTAAAAGCAACTGTGGTCAAACTGAGAACCAAGTAGGAAGAACTGGACAGAGTAGCCTAGACAAGAAATGACAGAATCTGAGTTAAGGCAACAGGAAGAGAAACAAAGTGGAGGGCAGATTTAGAAATACTGCAAAGATGAAACTGATGGACCCAGTGTCCTGAGAGGACAGGGGAAGGGTCAGGAGGATGGCTGGGATTTTAAGCTTTACTATAGGTGGGCAGGACTGTTCCGACCAGGACTTGGAATATAGGAGAAAGTGCAGTTTTATATAATGAGCTGGCCACCAATGAGAGCTCCATTTTTAACATGTTATTTTTTGAGGGATCTTGGGCAAACCTAAGAAGAGGTTCTAGTAGGTAGATATAAGAGTGTTGGTTTCTAACAGTCATCTGCATAAAAATGAGTGCTGAATTCCAATGATTAAAAATCGCCCCTCAGGAACATCCAGTGGAAGACAGCAGAGCATGAAACCCCAGGGAAACACCTATTTCAGGAGCAGGCAGAGGAAAAGCAGCCCGAGAAAGGATGAGCAGAGTAGAAAGAGCACACGAGGAAATGGTCTCCTGGAAGCTGAGGGAGGATGGGAAGTCTTAAAGGGTCAGATTGTTAAATATCGCAGAAGACAATAAAGACTGGAGCTGACCACACAGACATGGAGAGGTAGAATACATTGGTAAATGTGGGGAGAATAATTTTACTGAGTAGAGAGAAAAGAAGACTGATTAGAGATGCTAAAGAAAAACTAGGAAGTTAAGGATATGAAGAAAACCCTTGCAGATGACTACTCTTGAAAGCATTTGTCTATTAAAGAAAAAAGGGACACAGATTGGTACACAGAAGGGAATGGTTACATTTTCAGGAAGCTGGTGTTAACAGGACAGACTAAGGCTGGTTTATATACTGAAACAAAAGGAACCATAGTTGAACAGCTACATAGAGAGTGAGAAGAAAGGAAAGAAAGGGAGCATAGGTAGAAAGAACAGCCTTGGACAACACAAAGGCTATGTCTACCTGAGACTGGAAAGGAACATCTGCAAAGTAGAGGGGGATTAATGGATGCTCTTTGTTGCTGCTATTGATGTTGTTAATCAGCTGTTTGGGAAATCTATCCTGTGGTGATGAGAAATGTGGTAGCACTGAGAGTATTAAGAGTTTAAAGCAGCCCTGACTGGTTTGGCTCAGTGGATAGAGTGTCAGCCTAAGGACTGAAGGGTCCCGGGTTCTATTCCAGTCAAGGTCATGTACCTTGGTTGCGGGCACATCCCCAGTGGGGAGTGTGCAGGAGGCAGCTGATCGATGTTTCTAACTCTCTATCCCTCTCCCTTCCTCTCTGTAAAAAATCAATAAAATATATTAAAGAAACTATTTTAATAAAAAAAAAAAGAGTTTAAAGCAACTGTTCTTATCTTGGCTCCAACTGACTTAGGTGCTTCTCCTCCATGTCACTCAATGAGACCTGTACTCTACTCTTGCCCTCATCCTCCTCTATTATAATCACTATTGATCTGCTGCTGCAGGAAAGCCCATGCCTTCTACATCTTTTTAATTCCTAGGCCAGCACAGTACCTGGGAGAGCAAAAAGATGCATTAAAGTTTGGGTTGGGGCTAACTTTCTCCAAGATCTCCATGGTTTCACACCTAAGCTGGGGTCCACTGCCTGCACTCACTTGGACAACTGTCTGAGCTCCCAATGCAGTGAACTAGTAGACAGTCTGTAGGGTGTAAGGCCACAACAGGAAAACTAGTCATGGCACTGGTTACTTTCATAACTCTCACTACACTTGGAAAATGCTTCTGTATAAAAATTCTCCCTAGAAGAGGTACCAGACCTGATATACCAGTTTAGAGCTCTGAACAACGTTGATGTGACAAACAGGATTGATAAAAGATGACCGAAGGAAAAAGGACAAACCATACAAAGAGCAAGTGTGTTCAGCATGTGTTCTGGAACACATTCACCTAAAATCTAAAAATGTCGACGCTCTCTTTTTACAATCCATACATGGACCAGTAGGCACACAAAAATGATTACATGCTTAAAAATCAATTTTGATACCTAAGCCATGCATAAGAGAAACTTAGAATTGCATTTCTAAAATTGATTTAAATGTAATAAGCTTTCTCTGTTTTTATTTTCCACAACCATTAGCCGGGACACATTATATATGACAATAAAGAGCCTTCAGTGCCAATCTGCCCCCAGACAGTGATGAGCATAACTTATCACTAATTACCTGCACACTTCTTGCAGATGACGACGCAGAGATTGATGGATGCCCAGTCCGGATCTGGGGCTTTGCAATCTGCACAGCTCCTGTTGGACTCATTGAACCAAATCTTCTCAGCTACTTCATAATCAGAGAGAGTTTCTGCTATCGATTGCTGCACAGCTTCAATCCACTCTTGTTTCTCCTTTTCAGACTCGGCTACAAAGCTGAAACAATTAACGTTTCTGCATTATTGATCTCCCTGGTAAAGGCCAATTAAGCGGTATGTTCGGTTTGCATATTCATTTCACTCACACATTACACAGCAGCTGAAAAATATGCCTTCCAGGCAGTTGGATAGTCTCTTCTGTCAATCATCTAATTTAGAAATCTATTTATTTTCTTTAATTTTTCACATTGCTTATGACTTCATTTATGTATGTTGAAGCAAAATTAACGTGTATATTTTTCTGACCAGGATATAAAAATTGCCCTTTTAGGTCAAGAGATTAAATGAGAAGCCCTGTTTCCTAAGTAGTGGTTGTATAATAATCAACGTAAGACTGTCAGAGTTTCAGATCTATAGGGTTACTTCCCCAAGAAAGAATGCCAGGGTAGTCTGAAACTAAACTACAAAAATACCCACCAGAAAGTTTAATTTTTTTAGTACTAAAAATAGATTATTTTGTCATTCAAAGAATGTACAGATGGCTTTAAGAAAATGAGAAATCAAAAGTTTTAGTGATTACTATTCAACAGAATTCTAACTCATTTTTAGCCATGTTTTGATTTATTCTAAATCTTAGTGTTTGTTGGGTGCCTCAGTAAACGAATAAAAACATTAAAGATCAGTTTCTTAAACTCCTTTAAGAAATATTTACTGAGTACCTATCGTGTGCCCAGAAATGTGCCATACTCAATCACCCACAGAACAATGCTTTCATTACAATTTTCTGTTCTGAAGAAAAAAATGCTTTGAAATACAATGAAAATATAGACGACTAGCATAAGTTACACAATCAGGAAAAAAAACTGAGTGGCCTGTGTGGATTTTTGTTGACGTTCTTTATGATACCCTCATCACTATAATAGTTACACATTTCTTAGTGGTTTCTCTTTCTATATAGATATTGGTCACAGCCAATATGGTTCTATGGAAAACAGATATTTGGTCTTTACTGGTATATAGCTCTAAAACCATTGGAATGATAAAAGTGTTTTATACGCTAATATGATAACTTGTGGCTGGGAGTCTAGACTGGAGCTGGACACCAAAAATACCAACGTTTGATTAGCTCTGGAACTTTCAACCAGCCCCACCCCCTGACCTCTGGGAAGGAGGAAGGACTTGTGACTGAGTTACTCACCAATGGCCAAAGATTTGATCACTCATACCTTTGGAATGGAAGCTCCATAAAAACCCCTAAACAACAAGGTTCTGAGGAGGGTGGTACATCCAGAGAGGGCACAGAAGCTCTGTACCACTAATCCCTTGTGCCTGCCCTATGCAGCTCACCCATCTGGCCTTTCCAGGGTTGTATTCCTTATAATAAACTGGTAATTGTAATTAAACTGTTTCCCTGAGTTCTGTGAACAATGCTAGCAGTTTATCAAACCTGAGGGAAAGGGAGTCAAGGGAACCCCATTTTATAGTCAATGTGCACAGAAGTGTGGGTACCCAGGGACCCAATACTTGCAACTGGTATCTGGAGGACAGTCTTGTGGGACTGAGCCATAAGCCTGTGGGGTCTGATGCTCACTCTGGTATGGCAGAATAGAACTGAATTGTAGAACACACGATTGGAGTCCAGAGAGTTGGAGAATTGATTGGTAAGAGGAAAACCCCACAGATTTGGTGTCAGAGTGTTGTGAGTAAAAGCAGCTCAGTCAATGTCTACATTTTCAGCGGAAGCATGAATCTGCATATGTGAAAATAAAGCTTATTATTCCTTACGTCTTTTGATTGTTGCTAAAATTTGAGCCAGCAGACATATTTTGACAGGTAAATTGAGTACTAGACTTGGTTGTATTTTTGAAATTGATAAGTAATTGTTAGTCCTTAAATAACTTTTGACAATTGCCTCTGACCTTTATACTACCCTGTGGTAGGTTGATTATTTGTGACAAATGAATTAATGTGGTTGAACTCAGCAGACACTGACTTAGGCCTCTTCTGTGTACTAAAGCTAGGGAGTCATTATAGAGTATTCTGACACATATAAAGAACATATATTGAGTTTTGTGTTTCACTGTGATAATGAATAATTACTAGAATACCATAATACAAGATATATAACAAAGCACTAAAATATTTGATCAGTAAATGCTAGGAGATCCAATAAACCCAGCATCATTTTAAACTCGAGCTCCTTTTAGGAAATCATTACAGAACATTTATAATTAGGGGCTGATCTTAAAGGAGGGACTATACTTGATTAGGCTAAAAGAAGGTAAACAACAACACAGCCTAAAGACAACGTAATATTCCCCTTTTACTTTATTCCTTCAAAATGTGAAGTACGTTTTCACATATTTGTTGATAACAAAAATGTAACATACTAAGTCCACTAAGACAAAGATGTTTTAAGAAAAGAAACAACTCAAATTTCATGAAATTAGTATCTGCAGGTCTTGTGATTATTCAAATCACTTTCACAGGTGCTTACAGAGACTGGCTAAGAAATTAAACAGAATGCAAAGTAAAAACATTGTTTTACTAAATGTCCTGCAAGAAATAAAATTGCCACCTGCAATGTGAAGTGGCTCCCCAAAGCTGCCCTGCAGTAGTACAGGCACAACATGTTTAAGTACAGCTTACCTAAAACTCTTATAGGGCGTGATTATCTCAAAAGATTGTTTCATAGTCCGGTCCACTTGCTTTACATTGGCTACATTCATCGGGATTATGGTAATACCAAATCCACCCTTAAAATCCTAGTTTGAAGAAAAATATAAAAAAATGATTAAAACAAAAATATGAATTTCAAAAGTACAATTACATTCTCAAATGAAAACACAACACATCTTACTAAATTTGACTACACACATATGAATGGAATTAAACAATTCATTAAAAAATGCATTGAATAGTTTTATTTTAGGTAGTCACTTTCAGTACCTGATAACAAGGTCCCTTCTAAGCTTAACAATTGGCTATTAGTCAAGTATGGGTTTCTTTCACATGAAACATCAGTTGAGTAGGACATAGGACATAGATTTTTGAGCTACACACACCTGGCTTTATTACCAAGTACCCAGCTGTTTTCTAGGTGGGGGAGCCAAATGACACTGTGAGGTTGCTATAATTGCTATTTATATAAAAAGAAGGGGAGGTCAAGGCACAGAAAGATAGTTACATGGAAAGTGCAGTTGTCTGTGGTAGAAAGAGGCTGAAACCCAAGCCATCTCTTTGCTCTTCCTTTGTGCTACTGTATGTCACCTCTGTCCTGTCATATTGTTTCTCATTTACTCTCAAACGAATGCATTACTTATTTTACAATTTTATCTCATTTCCAACATTTTAGTACATTCCCCTTTCTTCAGTCAGATTCTGAAGAAGCTCTTCCATTGCTATTTTGGTTTGAAAACTGACTTTTGTTCAACACGTATGGCCACTATGCTTGGTATGTCTCACCAGGATTAGAAATTGTTCAAAAAGCTACACAAGTCTGCATTTTAAAAACATTAAAGGTTGCAATATATTGTCTAGTCAGAAGGGCTTGGGAATGTATCAAATAAGCTCAACACGTTAAAAATATAATTAATCTGTACCCCGAGAAAATAAAGTATCTATGTGAACAGATGCAGAATAGCTGTGAATTGAATTCCTAAATTAAATTATGGCTGGGAAAAGGAGCCATAATAAAGGCACACTGCAAAAAAACACCGGCTCACTCCCAATAAGGGCACTTCCGGCAGAGACTGTGAAAGTAACAATGCGTGGGCCTTCTTCCCTTGGTCCCTCCTGCTACACGGGTCAACAGTAAAAGCCCTCGTTTCCCATTTTGCTTGCAGGTGGGAGGGGCCATATCTCACAGTTCTAGTCAATAAAATATACATAATTCCTGGCTTGGAGCAGGAAGGTGGAGGGAAAAGCTTGCCTTTCCATCTTCCTGGGAAATAACATCCAGATGCACAGAAGCCACTTTAGCCTGAGCCCCAGGACAGATTCCTGGATGCTAAGGAGTCAGAGTGAGTTAACAAACAGAGAGAACCCTGTTCCCTGGTGGCCTCCGCTCTCCACTGCCTCCACCAAGAGATTTGTTAAAACAAATAAATCCCTGCGACTGAGTTGTCCTTCAGGAGTTTGATACGAATGCATTCCTGACATAAAATAAGTGAAATAAAATAACAGATCTTCCCTCCGCTTGCAAAGGTATCCAGACTTTCCAACACAAATTGCAGAAAGTCTCATTTTTTAATTTTTAAAAAATTTGTCTTTATTGTTGAATGTATTACAGATTTCCCCTTTTTTCCCCCATTGACCCCCTCCACCCTTCTCATGCCCCCTCCCCTGGCCTTCACCCCACTATTGTCTGTCCATGGGTTATGGCTGTATGCATGTAAGTTCTTTGGCTTATGTTTTTTAACTTAAAAAGTTTTTAGTCAGGATAAGAAAATGACTCATACAATAAATCATCAATTAAAACTTTTTTTTTCTGATGAAAGAACAAATGGCTCCTTCTGCTAGGAGAAACAAGCTAAAAATTGAGTTGATAATATAAAAGATGTAGAGATATGCCAAGTGTTGTAAAATAATTAGAAGAATGTGGTATACTTCTACTTTTTATAATAAGCCCACTTGACAAAAATTAGTGTTTAACGTGACCTATATAGACAGAGAAAGGGGATCGAACTTTTGCAACTTGCTCCATATCAATGTTTCAACATATTGGTTCAGTGCTATACTTACTAATTAAATTAAAAGCAAATTCTCAATTATCCATAGCAAGGGACCGGCTGGGATAATGCAACTGTTCGAGAAACCCCAATGCATGAGATTGGAAATACAGCTCTTTTTTAAAAATGAGGAAATAAAGTAGGGGCAGTAAGAAGAGAAGATATTTTTATAAAGGGTTTATGATGGCTCAGCTTGATACAGGGATAACTCTAGAATACAATCGTTAAACTGCATGTCCTTCCAACAGTTGTGAGTAATGAAGCATTTGACAAGAGCTGGCTATCAGATCGTTGCGCGTTGTGTTTTCTGAGGTCTGGCCTGCAGGCACCGTGGGTTACTAAGAGCAGAGTGTACACTCAGCCATCAGACCAGCAGATGGGAAGACTGACAGCCTTTATGGAAACGGATGGGCCTCTTCAAGGCTCCAGCCTGAATAGATGCCCTTCCTTTCTACAAGCAAGTCTGAAATGTCTACTTACAACGCTGAAAGTTCTGCTAAAAACAAAATACGTAAGGATCGGCTCAAGGCCCCAAACTTCTGAGCAAGGCAAAGATGATTTTTTAGCCTGGAAAAAAATTTACAACCCATTTATCAGCCGCTTGCTACGGCCACATGGTTTGGAGTAATTAGAGGACCCACTGAACTCGCCAGCACAAATGGACTGTGAAATGTACCGCAGAGGAACAAGATAAATGTCAGTGCTCTCGAGAGCTGTTAAATAAGAAACAACTGAGTTTCTCATTAAAAATATCTGTGGTGACATTAAGCCATCTTTTCAACAGTATTTAGAACATATTTAGAAGAGATCTCATTCCTTGATGCTCATCGAAGTTAACCGTGTAGAAGTCTCCCTCCCACCTGAGATTCTGATTCCATGAGTCGGAAAGCAGAGCCTAAGAATCTTCCATTAAAAAAACAAAGAAAATTCCAGACTGGTGTGGCTCAGTGGTTAAGCATTAGCCAATGAACCAGGAGGTCATGGTTCGATTCCTGGTCAGGGCACATGCCTGGGTTGCAGGCTCGATCCCCAGTGTGGGGCGGCAGCAGATGAATGATTCTCCCTCATCATTGATGTTTCTATCTCTCTCCCTCTCCCTTCTTCTCTGAAATCAATTAAAAAATATATTTAAAAAATAACAATTTTAAAAAAGCAAAGCAAAACTACAAGCCTGTGATTTTCACGTCGCCAATACTGAGAAACACTGAAAGAGAGAGCAGAACCAGTGGTGGAATCAAGACAGTATGAGTCTGCAATGTTTACATATCAGGATATAAACACTTTTCTTTCTGTAAAGCAAAAAAAGCACAAGATCAAATCATACAAAAATCATTAGAAATCATTAGGACGAATGGGTAAAAAGAGGCTGGTCAGAACTCAGTGACATATTGGATTTTATCAAGAACCTATTTGTCCTGGGTGCCAACCCCTGTGCTGGTATCTAGAGGCTTGAAAGCATCAGTCTTCATTGAGCATAGGCAGAGCACTCCATCATTGGTTCCATAGCTATGTGTGTGTAGTGCTCTGAGTCTGACAGACAGCTGTGAACTCTCATTTGCTTTCTTGAAGATTCTATGAAGAAGGCAGAGCAGATATACCCTTTTGTAAAATGGGAAAATTTGTCCTGGCAAAACAGCATGTATGAAGTACTTAGCAAGTGCCCGGAAGTGTGCTAAGTCCTGGGTCAGCCCCAAAGCCTAAGACAGGGTACCCGCCTTGGAGAAGATTCGGTCTAAGGCGAGAATGAGGGGGAACTGCAATAAGGCACTGAAAGAAAAGTGCATAGAAGCCTGTAGGGGAAGCACCGAATCCAGCCCAGAGAGGAGAGAGCTGTGTCCATAGGAGGCTTCCCAGAGGCAGTGACACTTGACTGGACAAATGACAAAACCCAGACCAGCTTGATACGCGATACCTCTCTTGCTTCATGAAGTTCACTCATTTGTAAAATGGAGATAACAGTAGTAGCTATTGCATCGCTGTGGGGAGCATTAAATTCATACAATTAAAAATGCTTAGAAGAATAAGCACCTGGTACGCAGTGGGTGCTACCAGTTCTACTGAGCAAGTGTTATTTTCTACCTGCTTAAGTTTAAAGCCAATTGGAGATATTACCTATTAAAAACCTAATTACCAGAGAATACATGCATAGAAACAACAAGCATATATACATTTTTCAAATGAGATGGAATGTGAATGTTAGACGTTCAAGAAAATTTAAAATAAATTACCCACTAACTGCAACCTGATTGTCAGCACTATTCTCGTTTTGAAAAATAGACACAAGCCGGGAACAAGCCAAACTTCCAACCCTTAAAATGCCATGAACTGGACTGAAACAAAACAAAAAACCACAGTACCATAAAAATGAAATGCCTAGAATATTATTTTAGAAAACATAAAGCTAAACACAGATTGTGGAATAAACAATATTTTACATTTAATTTGCTGTCAGAGAATGCGGACTCTCAGAAAGCACGAATCCCCCACCGGGACAGCTGTAACCACGGCTGTGGTTGGCGGTGCAGGCCTGGATGACTGCAAAAGCGGTGATGACCAGGAGGCACCGGGGGTCAGACCTCGGGGACAACCTTGGCTGAGCCACTCACTAGCTGTATGACTAGCTGCTGGCGAGTCATTTAGTTTATCTAGACCTCAATGTTCTCATTTATGAAAATACAGCAATATCTACCTTATATGCATTATTATAAAAACTGATGAATATAAAACCGAGGGCCTAATACATCCAGACAATCCTTGCATTTGAGGGTTCCAAAGCCAGAATGTGTCTTCAATAAAAACATTTCCATTTTACTTAGAATGACTGAAAGTAGTCACACCAATGACTCCATATTAAACATCCAGATTAGAATTAATGGTTAAGTATTTACCGAGCTCCTGGGTTATTTGTACAAATTTGAAACAACGAAATCTGGTTGAAACTACATTTTAAAACTATACAGTGAAAACTGCAAAATAAAAGTTTGATTTCTAAACAGAAAAAAAAAGAAGAGTCTATTAACCCCAAATATGCTGAA